CGTCGACATGTAGTATCCAAATGCCTGTTGGCGAGACAAGATCCTGCTCGAGTTCTGGGGGAAGCTCGATGATGAAATCGGCTAGAACTTGCGATTTTTCGGCTGGCTTGCCTTGGTACGTGACGTCGTGTTCGCTGAGTTCAATTGCCCATTTCGACAATCGACCGGACTGGTTGGTGTTCTGCATGATTGTGCGCAACGGTTGATTGGTCAAAATGACGATCGAATGAGATTGGAAGTAGGGCCTGAGCTTTCTTGCCGAAGTAATGACCGCCAGGGCCATCTTTTCGAGGGTTGAGTATCGCGTCTCGGCGTCGGTCATTCGCTTGCTTGTATAAAAGATTGTGTGCTGTTCACCGCGATCTTCCTTGACGAGGACACTGCTGACGGCGATCGAGGAGACTGCGATGTAAAGGTAGAGTGTGTCTCCTTTTTCTGGTTTAGCTAGTACGGGCGGTGTGGTGAGGTAATGTTTCAGTTGGTTGAACGCCTCTTCACACTTCTCGTCCCAAACGAACTTCTTATTGCCGCGCAACAAGTTGTAGAAAGGGAGGCACTTGTCGGTCGACCGCGGGATGAATCGGTTAAGCGCTGCCACTCGTCCCGTCAGCCTTTGCACTTCGCGACTGTTTTTGGGGCTCGGCAGATCGAGGATGGCGGAGATTTGCTTCGGATTTGCCTCGATCCCCCTTTGTGTCATGATGTAACCGAGAAATTCACCAGACGTGACTCCGAACGTGCACTTGGCTGGATTGAGCTTCATGCCGTACTCGTTCAGCGTCCGAAAGCAGTCAACCAAGTGGCTTAGGTGGTCGGTCGCCCGGCGGGATTTCACCATCATGTCATCGATGTAGACTTCCATTGTATCTCCCAATCGGTCGGCAAACATTCTGTTGACCAGACGCTGATAGGTTGCGCCGGCGTTCTTGAGTCCGAAGGGCATGACTTTGTAGCAATATGTTCCTACGTCTGTGATAAATGCCGTTTTCTCCCNTTCTCCCGATCATGAGGATGCATCATGATTTGGTTGTATCCCGAAAAAGCATCCATAAACGTTAGCAATTCATTTCCGGCCGTTGATTCGACTAGACGATCGATATGCGGGAGAGGGAAACTGTCATTCGGACATGCTTTGTTTAGATCGGTAAAATCGACGCAAACGCGCCATTTCCCGTTCTTCTTCTTTACCACGACGGGGTTTGCTAACCACTCGGGGTACTTGACTTCTTTGATTGATCCTGCGCTGAGTAATCGGTCGACCTCTTTGTTCACCGCTTTTGAACGTTCAGGTCCCAACTTTCTTCTTTTCTGTCAAACTGGTTTGATTGTTGGGTCGACGTTCAGCTCGTGGGTCGTAATGGAAGGGCTTATCCCTTTCATATCGGCGGTCGTCCAAGCGAAAGTTGACGCGTTTTCCTTCAAGAAGGAGACGATCATGTCTTTCGTGTCGGTCGGCAGTTGAGCGCCTATTCGGACGATTTTGCTTGGGTCGTCTCCATCAATGGGTACCTCCAAGATCTCCTCCTTGAAAGGAGCGATTTTTTGAAATGGTCTAGTGACGGCATTCACGTGGCAGGGCGATCGGCGGAGCTTTATTTCCGCAACAAGGAGGTCACGGGCGGCTGCCTGATCTCCACGTAAAACGATTATTCGACCGTCCATGCCT